GAGGATGAGAGGAGCTGTGGGCAAGAGCAACAAGCTGTGACATCTGCCTTGCCTTCTCGGTGGGCTTTGTGGAGCTGTCCCAGAGGATTGCTCAGAGAGAAGCCCCGTGGTGTTTTCTTTCTCATTTGGCAGAAGATGGCATTGTAGGAGAGCAGAGCAAGCTCACTCAGCTTGTGCGAATAACCCAGTTTAATTCAAAACACTCTCCCTGCTATAATTAAGTAGTGCGAACTCTCCTTGTGCTGCATGTAAAGAGCTGGCCCAGTCGTGTCGTGGCTTCAAATTCTGGGCCTGAGGAAAAGTGGAGGTGAGAAGGTGAAAGCAAATGGGCTCTGAAGTGTTGTGTTTCCTTGTCTAGAACAAACTTACAATGCTGGACATTGCTGCCAACAGAATCAAAAAGATTGAGAATATCAGCCACCTCACAGAGCTGCAGGAGTTCTGGGTAAGTACCCCAGAAAAGTGGGATGTGACAAATTACACCCCTTTGTGCCGGGGAACAGCAGGAGGGGAAGGTTGTTCCTTGGAGTCCAGGGGTCTGTAGGGTTATTAAACTCTTTATATTCCGACAACTGACTTCCCTGGAGAAGAAGTTACATCTACTGGAATTTTTGCAGGCTTTGATGAGTAAAAACAGGCCTGTCTCTACCCAGAATATAGATCCTGCTACCAACCCATCCCTGCTAAAGTCCTGCTTGTAATGGTTATAAACCAGCCTTCCTGGGTCCTGGTTTTGCAGGTCTCCTCTTTCTTTAAGTCAGGGCCACTGTGAAATGGGGACACTGGGTTTTTTATCCACTTACCACTCCCTAGGTCTTCAGTACACTGACGCTCGCAAAACAAATGGTCAATGGTCAATGGTGGCTCAGCACCACCCCAGAGCACGCTGTTTGGAGCTGGTCTGTTCTTGTCACTGTAAATACAAAGAAAACAAAACTGTCCTTGATTTACTTTTGTTCCTGAGTCTGTTCAAGGTTGATTTGGTTTCCTTGTGGCATCCTAAACTTTACCACTCACTACTCCAGTCAGGAAATGTGTAGATTAGATTCCCTTCCTGAAATGTCAGTCCTCTGCTGTGTTTGGCAGCTGCTAATGTCTGGGGGAAAGAATAGACCCTGCTGAGCTGGTAGATGCTTTAGTTCTTGTAGAGTTCTTAGGAGTCAAGGCTGAGAAGAAGAGTTAATGCTGCTTAATACTGTTGTCTGGGCTTTCAGTTGGTTACAGTTTGGGGTAGAGGCAGTGACAGAAGAGCTGGAAAGCAGCTCTAAGCTCCTTGGGCTGTTTTTTCACACAATGGAGTGCTGCTTAGCAGACTGTTGGTGATGTCACCTGAGCTTCTTAATTCTAGCAGGAATCCTTTAAATAACAGAGCTGTTTAACATGATGTCCTGCAGGCTCTGGGCTCAAGACACTGCCATGTGACTGCTGTGGGACTGGCTTGAATCTTTTCAACTTCCTGTAATCTTCCTCTTTGAGCACAGCTCTCTGCTGCTTAGACAAGGAGGCCTTGTGCAGCTATTTCCATTTGCCTTGCAGAAGGTAAAGGGAGGATCCTCTCTTACTGGACTATTTCTGCAAAAACACCTGTGTTTTGAAAGAGTCCTTTGCCAAAGCAGAGCTTTGGCCAAGATCTAGTAGCTTTGTCCAACTCTCTTCCCCACCTGAACATAGGAAAAAGCTCTACTGCTCTTTTTTCACTTCGAAAGTGTTAAAAAGCTTATATTCTTGACAAAAACCTAGGCTCAGCTTTCTTTGGTATAGGCAAGTGTTGCTTCTACTTATTTATTTTCACCATCTGAAGAGATGAAACCACCTAACCAAGTTCCTTAACATCTCAAGGAAACGGAACTCCAAATCCCAGATTCTGCAGGAATCGTCTAAACTTTTCCCTGTGTTATCCCAGCGGAGGAATTCAGACACGAGCGAGTGACTTGCCTGAAGCAATGTTGGGATAAGCGATAGCAGAGTGAAGAGCTACTGGGTTTTCTTCAGAGCATTAGTCCAGGGGCTTAACTGAAACAATGTCATGTGCTGGAGCACCGGCAGTGCCAGTAACCAGGCAGTTTCCTTTCACTGAACTAGATAGATGGAGGTGGTACCTGGCAGACCACGTGGGTGGTCTGTAGAGTGCAGTGTTTGACCTGCAGCCCCAAACTGTGCAGAAAGTGGTAGACGTTAGGAAAGCTTGGCGTGTGCAGCACAAAATGTTCCCTCGGGTTCCAGAGGGAAAAGGATCGTGTAACCAGGGACTTCTCACATGCATGTGAAGACCGTAGAGGTTCCTGCTACTTGGGTAATGCTCCCCGTGAGCAGCACCAGTCCTGGCTAGGCTCTTGCTAAGCAGACTTTGCTGGAAGTGTCTCTTTGTGTGTGTATATGTGCTCTGCAGATGAATGATAATCTCGTCGAGAGCTGGAGTGACCTGGATGAGCTGAAAGGAGCCAAGAACTTGGAAACTGTTTATCTGGAGCGAAACCCCTTGCAGAAGGATCCCCAGTACCGGCGTAAAATCATGTTGGCCCTCCCGTCTGTTCGGCAGATTGATGCCACGTTTGTTCGATTCTGAACCTCCTGCTGCCCTTCTCCTCTCCTGCCCTCCTTGCAGAAGTGTCCCAGCTGGGTTTTTTATCCACTTACCACTCCCTAGGTCTTCAGTACACTGACGCTCGCAAAACAAATGGTCAATAAAAAGCACTGAATCCAAGATCTTGTGTACAATGCACTCGTTGTTTTTGAAATGTTATTATTATTAAATCTTAAGAGACTTCCTTGCGCTTCCGTCTGTTATTTATGTGGGAAGTTCTGGCAGCAAGTGGTTGCGATGGACTGAAGCATTTCTAGCTGGAGCCACTTGTGACTTGCAGTGATCCTGTGATGCATCTCCAGGCCAGTGAGATCCTTGCAAACAGTGTGTTCCCTCCTCCAGCGTTCAGATCCAGGTTTGAAGGTGATAGGTAAAAATATGAGGAGACAAGGCAAGGGTTGACATGGGGAAAAACTTGACAGCTTAGCCAATCTAAGTCAGGGCTAAACATCTCCAGAGAAGGGGGAAAGTTAGATTTTCTATATTCTTTCCTGTCTGTGGGGAAACAGCTGCAAGCTCATTAGAGAGAGGCTGAGAAAAATGGAGTTGTGAAAGGGGAGTGGGAATGGACATGCCTAGAGAAAGCCACTACTGATATGACTTCCATGTTTTAATCGCAAACAGTGGAGTGAGGTGGGAATGGGCAAAGGGACTTCAAAAAGCAAGATTAAAAAGGGATTCTACTTGAGGAGGTGAGGGATCCAGCCTGTTCTGGCATGCTTCTTGTTTAGTGGTTATGACCGTTTGCCTTTTATTTCCCAGGATTTGACAGAGCAAAGCACAGCAGAGAGCAAGGCAGGTATTCTCCTGCTTCCTAGGCTGCAGTCAAGGCCCTTTTGAGATCTATTTCAGAACCCAAGAGTGCTACGTGGGGCCCGCACTCCGGCGTTTCAAAGCAGCTCCTTGATCGTCACAGGTGCCACCGCTGCCCGAAGCGAAGCTGAAAGGTTCGGCAGAGGCTTTTGTATTCAGTTGTGTTGAAAACAAGCAGAGCTCCTATAGAGGGAGGCAGTGATTTAGTGTCTCTTCAAACGTAGTCTTCATCTTACGAATGCTGCCAGCATCCCTTCATGGAAAGCCACCTGCTTGGAGTGCCAGACACTTGGATTGCAGTTTTGAAAGCCCTAGAAGAGTCTGGAGAGGGGTAAGATGCAGTCCTCTGTGAAGGACTCCTAATTTTAACTGGCAGAGCTCGAAAGGGCTCGCTGCTAATGTGCTGATGGCGGAGGAGGCAGGAAGGTTGGCAGGGTGCCCTGAGGGCTGCTGCTTCTTGCACTGCCATATGATCTGTCATCAGTTACTTGATCTCTGCGGTGGCAGTAGTCACCTTTGGCAAGATGTTTGGTGCCAGCTAGAGCGGACCCTATTTCTGATGGTTTCCCTGAGCGCTTCCGTCAACACAATCTGTGCCTGGGGATTAGTTGCCCCTCTCGCAGCAGTTGCTTGCGAGGCAGGTGTCAAGACGGGGTGTTGGGAGGCCAGGAGGGCATCTGGCATCGTCTCAGTACCAAACTTGCTTACTCAGGATGTTTTTCAGCAGCCCCCGAGGAGGGGCGAGCTGTATATCCACCCTCAATTGGTTACGCTGGTGTCCTTGGGCTCTCTCCCTCTACACTCTGACTGCAGGAGCTGGGTTTCCTGACAAGAGGTGGAAAGTAGGGCCAGGGACATAAGGATAAGGTAAGGATAGACCATGAGCTGCTGCCAGATGACCCAACAAGGTAAGGGTCGACTTCTTTGAAAAAAAACCACATCAAGTCTTGTTGCCGTTAAATTCAGAGAGGTGGTTTTGACATTCCTCTACACTCATGTTTGATATAGGCAGCTGACCTTTGTGTCTTCAGCGTCTCCAAAGCTTCCTAGGAAGGGATTGCCATCTGCTGAAGTGTGTTTGTCTTAACAGGTATCTCTCATCACTCCTGGGGAGAAGCTGCTGCCCTGGCCAGGTCACAGTGAATTTTTTATCGTGAGCTAAATGGATCAAGGTAAAGGCTGGGAAAAGAACTGAGTGAGTGTAACCGAATAACCGGCTCCATAGCAGGTTTGAGGTGCACACAAGCATGTTTTGAACAGGGTTTTTATCCAATGAACGTGTCAGGTATCTGAGGAACTTCTCACATGTGGCCTGTAGCCCTCGTAAGGGAACATAGCAACAAAACAGTCTACATATGAAAGCTGCTGCTGTTAAAAGGACGTATCAGCTTACTTGTTTGACAAGTTCTCCAGTAAAAAGTCATATTTTGGCTCTTTTTAAAGGAACTGTTCCCTTCTCTCTGTTAGCAGTTGAACCAAATCTCCAATGAGGTATTAGTTGGTTAGTATGAGGTGTGCTGGTTACTGCATGTCAGGTCTTGGGCTGCTGCCCACCAGCGCTGTAAACCTCGTCCTCCTGCCTTATCCAAATGCAGAGAAATAGCTGAGAAATAAGAAGTGTGAAAGACTGAAAGGTGTACTTGAAAAATTCCCTTAGTGCTGGTTTGATTTATTCTAACTTGCACTGGATTTGAATCTTCGAGAGATGGGTGAGCCCCTGGGCAAGACCAGGAGTTTGTAGCCCGCGAGCCAAGGGACACCGAGCTCCACTGTCCCCCGCTTTGCCCTGGGAACTTCAGCTCCGTGCGCCCGGCGTCGCAGGGTGGCTCCGTCTGCCATTGTGATGCCACGGAAGCACCGCCGGAATTCGGCACTTGCGCAGCCGGAGCGGGTAGGGTGACGCCGGCACCGCTGCGGCGGGAGGCTCCGCTCGGCCATGGCGCTCGCCCGGGGTGACCTTTCTCCCTGTTGCTTAGGCAGGGCCTCCATTCGGGAGCTGACCTGGGCAAACGCTGGGGACCAGGACCACCGGAGCGCAGCCCCTCTGCCCTTCCTCGTGTCTGCTCTGCCAAAGGTCGGCTCCCTGCGAGCTCCCTGGAACGCGGCCGCTCTGTTTGCTCCGGGACACGGAGTTCCCACCTCCATCTCAAACAAGGGCAGGGCCTGCTAACGGCTGCTCTGCTCGCAGGAAGGCACCGCAGACCTGCCGCCCTTCTCCTCCCGGGCCTGCCCACGGGCCTTATCTCTCAGCAATGCAAACTGGCCTTTCCCAAGACGGGAAGCAGCCGTAAACCACAGTGTTAAAGCAATAACGAGCAGCGCTTCCCTGCCTCTAGAAACTCGAGGGCAAGCAGGAGACAGAGACACAGACTCAGGGCAGCAGCGTGGGAGGGATCCTTGGCGTTTTACTTTGCCAGTGCTCGCTTCCCGCTGGAGCCTGACCACAGTGCGGTGGTCCCGGACATCAGGTATGGAGAAGAGTCTTGGTTTCTGATCCTGCTGCCTGCCGTACGGCTGCGCGCGTGTATCGCGCTCAGGTTGAACGAGGGTGTCAGACATGATGGAGGGGATCACGGCAGCGTCTGTTACACCAGGTACTGGAAGCTCCTGAGTGTTAATCTGGCTTTACAGGGGTTCATCTTGCAACTATTTCCTCCTTCCTCCCTTTCTCACCAGCTCCAAGGCAGGGCCACTATGTGCTTTGCAAAACGATGAGCGTACATGTGCTCCACAAACTGGCTTCTGGCTATGGTGGGGGCTTCATAGTGGGCATCTCAGCCCTGAACTTTTCAGGACGTTCGGGTGCCAAAAATGTGGCTCAAGATGTGGAAGTTTTGCCTGGGTTATCCAAAGGTTCCTGGGGGATTTGGATCCTCAAAAGGGAAGTGGAAGTGGAAGAAGGCTGGGGTGGGCAGTGAGGCTTTGAATGGTGACTGCCCCACCGCTTGTCTCGTGTCACTGCCAATCCCGAGCACAGCAGGA